TTAAAAATGTCCATGAATGATTAATATAATACTAAAATGCATGCAAATGTAAAAATACACTTCATGGGAAAAGTGGGGTTTTGTTTTTATCATGGTGGGACCAGGGGGTTTTGGCAAAATGGTTGTTGGGACATAAGGTGCAAAAGGCTGAGAACCGCTGTTCTAGTCTGTAGTCTGTAATGGGCTTTGCGCCTGCGTTGTTGTGCGGTAGTTCGGCTTTTCCTGGTCATAGGATTAAACCTCGTCCTTAATGCGGCGCTTAGTCCACTGAGCCGGTGCCTTTACTACACAAAGGTTCTGGGTTTTTGCATCAGTTTGGTCATCTAAACACCAGACACTGCAGCATTTACCTCTGTGTAGCTAGTTAGAGTATAACATAGTCTGGGGGTATAGAGTAGTACTCAGCTAGCTGCACTGAGACAAAAAAAAACCCTATCCATGCCTTGTCTCCATGAAATGCAAAACTCTAGAAATCTTGGTTCAGAGATGATCCCTTTTATTAGACCAACTAAGAAATCGCAAAAACATGATCTTTTTCTTTTTTTGTGTGATTTCCCAGTTGGTCTAATACACGGGATCGTCTCTGAACCAAGAGTTCTGGCGTTTTGCATTTCTTTTTGTCTCAGACTAACACGGCTCCCGAATACATCCCTCGTCTCCATGAGGCTTTTAAATTGAACTGGCTGTCGCTGTGTAAATCCGGCAGCAAATTCAGCAGTGAAAGCATAGCTAAAGTGGGCCACTCATTGATTTATTTATTTAAATTCCTTGCCTTCCTGTGGGGAAAAAGTCCAGGTGACAAAACCCGAATGCAGGCGATCTTCTGCACATGTTGTCATTTGTATGTTAAAAATAACACTTGCATCGCTGCTCGGCTAAGGACCCAAGGCGCTGTGGTGGTAACTCGGTGAAAGGAAATGGAGCTCACCCAGGAGGGGTTTGACCCGCTGCCTCCCTCCTTTCACGGGCTTGTGCTAATTGGAAGGGAGAGACCACGCCAACTCACTGCGTCTGGGGGAAAGCAGGAGCCAATTTACACAGCCACATCAATGTGGAAATCAGATTTTGGGTGGGGGAAGTGTGACCATCACCACCACCACACATTACGGATCTCTGACATTTGCTTTATCACATTGTAGGCTTTCTCAGACACATGAGTAAGTACTCTAAATAAGGGCTATGAAAATAGCTCATGAGAGAGGTTGAGTCATCAGCATAATCAAAGGAAACGCTGGTCCTGGAGCTTCGGTTTTAAAGTCCCTCTTTGTTTTAGATTCACGTTATAAATCACGGGGACATTTCACTCTGCATCTATTTCAGCTTAAAAATGACAAGTACCCAGACATTCACAAGGTAATGAGGATTATGAGAGAAATTCAATTTTCAGCTCGGATATGGTTTTCTTCTCTGGCTGCCCACATGCATATCCAGACCCGTGCCAAGAATATATCGGAGGGGTCTGGCTGGTTGTAGCCTAACTGAGTATCCATTGTTTCAACGTGGTGGTCAAGAGGGTTTGTGGCAGGAAGCAGGGATTTGCCAAGTACCCGGCATTGGCCTAACGCAGGGATGGGCAAAATGCAGCCCGGGGGCCAGATGCGGCCTGCCAGGCCATTCAATCCGGCCCGCGGGGCCCCTAAAAAAATTAGAAAATTAATATTAATCTGCCCTGGGCTGCCTGTCATGCAGCCCTCGATGGCTTGCTGAAACTCAGTATGCGGCCCTCTGCCCAAAATAATTGCCCGCCCCTGGCTAACGGCTCACGTGGCCATCAGCGTTTTATTATTACTGTCGTGGTTGTTGTTTGTATTGCAGCTGCAGCAAACAGCCCTGCTGCTGGCTCAGGATGCCGCCGTGCCTGGTGCTGTACAAATGGAGAGCAAAAAGGCAGACCTTGCCACAGAGCTTGCACTTTGCACAGATAAGTCGAGAGGTGAGAGCAGGATGCAGGGAAGGAGCGGAGGAGCCCTAGGTAACACTTAGACAATATTGCTCCGCACGCTAGACAGTGATCTCAGCATATCGTGTCTGGAGACAGCGGGAACAGAGCGAGGCTGATGCTGACAGCTTTTGGAAACCCAGCCTTAAAATACACTTTTCTACAGCCCCAAGTTGACAGCAAAGGTCCTTAGAGTCATTTCTAATCTCGGAGCCACTGGACTTCTCACCCATGTGAAGTTACCCACGTGAGGGTGAGTGCACTGTGCCACCTCCCCAAGTGCTGGAGGTTTTCATGTCATTTTTTTTTCAAGAACTGGTGGCTTATTTCTGTCAGACACAGAATCTGAGACTCCTTTGCAAAGCGGGCAGGATGGGATAGTGGGTGGGCAACAGCCTTCTTATAAAGAGTCGCCTTATGGAGCCTGAGCCAAAGCCCATTGGAGGCATTGGCAGGACTGTCATAGATGACACTGGGATTTGGACTGGGCCCATGGGGAAATAACCTTTAAGGACTGGTTCATGGCCTTATCCCTCCTGCATTCAATTGGCATTTGTATTTATTCCAGCTTGTTTTATAGGACGCGGATTAGAACAAATCGCCGCCAAGGACAGGCATGGTTGAGCCTCTGCATTAACCATTACAGTCCGGTTACTTAAGTCTAGTGGACTGGAAACTCAATTAACTCAAGTTCTGACACAGCTAAAAGGTGCTGTTTAGACAAATTAACATACTGAGGGGTCCAGCTTGAAGGACTGATAAGAATTGGTTGAAGTAGGTTTGCAACAAAGAAGGAGCAGAGCTGTGCACTTTACTTTTAGGGACCCTTTAAGCTCTAACACTGGCTTTTTGTGACAGGGTCACCGTGCTCCGGGGGACTTCGTGATGAGGAAGAAAGTTTATGGGGTGAAAGAGCCGGGCTAGGACTCGTAGGTTTGCAAAGCACTTGGAGATCCTCAGACGGGGGGCGTCAGCAAAGCGAAATCCTATTATTATTATTTATGAAGGTCTATCCTCCACAAGCCTGTATGCTCAAGATGAAGAGAGAAGATTTTATTTCCATTATAAAAAGGTTTTACTTCAGTAAAAAGCATGGGGCAGAACTTTATATAATAGCTATCGGGAATGCCAGCCGCTCCAGCAAGAAGCAGACAATGCAAGGCCCTGGGTGGGTGGTGAAAAGTCTTCGTGCTGCTGACTGCTAAAGCAGCGACATCGTTCAGCGTGCTCAATCCAGCTGTGAAAAGCAGCTGGTTTTCTGGCAGTTGGCATGGCATATGCGGGCGGATATGCTTCAGAGAATTGATCGGGGGGGCCACTTGTTGGGAAGAGGGGAAATCGGAGGGTGTGCTGTTCTGTGTGCGACGGAGCGCTAAAGTGGCTCCCAGCAGTTCTGATTACCAAACCCAGCTGTGAAGAGTGCTTACTTCTCTAGACCGGAGTGACGTCTGGTGGGGATGTGCTTCAGAAAATGTGCGAGGGGGGGAAAGTTTGTGTGCGTATGCACGCGTGTGCATGTGCAAGGCCATATGAAGGGGAACAAAAAGTAGCATGCTCTCGAATCGGCTCAGATTGCATTTCCTCCCTGCCTGGCCAGCTGGATTTGGAAGAAGGGTCACCAGGGCGCATGGGATATGTCTGCCGACACTTGCAGAAGGTTGCCACATCTAACACTTCGGACCTTTTCTTCTCTCTCTTGGTTTTCTTCCCACTTCCTTCTCCTTTTCAGCCCCCTCCTGATAGAGAGAGAGAAAGGAAACAAAGAATCCTCTTCTAATTGCTGCAATGGGAAGCAGACTGGGAATTGCAAGTGTGTCGGAGAGGAAGGGGCTGTAATGGTGAGGGCGGGGGGAGAAGGGTCTCCTTGAATCCAGACGGGAATAACACAAAAGCAGCAACCGCTAGTTCCTGTGCACTCAGCAGAGTCTCCTTTGCAAAACTGGCTCATAAATGGCAACTTTAATGGACAAGGAAATGGTATTGTCTGGCTGGAAAATATCAATAATTCCACTGCTGACTCCTCAGGGGACCCCTGTGAAGTCAGCATGAATGAGAGCAGGATTTGGAGTGCCTACCTTTGTTTCCTAGCATCTGTTGGCAATCGCTGCTCTGTATCGGTTCCCTTTGCAAAAGCATTTTGAGATGTAGTTTGTCAGAGGGACCTGATACAAAACAAAGCAGCACTACCAGTTGGCTGTAGAGACATCTTCAAAATCATGTCGGCCCAATCAATCCTTGACTGGGATTGGGCAGTCCCTTGCAGGGGTGAAAAAGCAGCTGAGATATTATTAACTGGCCCAAATGAAACCTTGGGACTTCCACCGATACTAGTAGGGCTCCATGTTTGCAGGGCAACTGGGAGAGGTCCTGTTTCTATTGGCCTTCTGTGGGATGGAGCAGAGAGATAATGAGTGCTAATTAACATTGTAGTCATGGCCCAGAGAGAGAGGAGACCAAGCTAATCCTTGGAATAACAGAGCAGGGGGCATGAGCTTTGCTCCCCTTTGATCTTCAAAGGATGAGCAGCACTCACATCGCTAGAGGTCCACGTGGCTGCGGGTAGAGGATGCTGCAGCTTGTGGGTCTAAGATGGCTCACCTACCTTGGCTTTCAAATGCCAGGCAGAACTTGACCTGGCTTTGCAGGAGGGTGATGTTGGTTCTGCCTGCGGATCGGATTTGGGAAGCCCGTGCTCGGCGGGTCTGGAGGGAGTACCGGTTGAACAGCGCAAGGAGGAGAGTCAGGTCCAGGTGACAGGAGCCCGGGTGGGACCGAGTACTTGGGTAGTCAGTCACACACACGAGGGGATTGTAGAGAGGCAGATAACATCGGTCCTCTATGAGATATCAGCTGTAACCTCAAGGTGATCTAATCTGTGCCAAAGGCCAGCAGTGGGCACAGAGGGGAGAAGGAGCTTCCTGTGTTTCATCGCTCCTTGTGGAAGTCAAGGCTCCGGTTAGTCGGAAATGAGCTGGCATGTGGGGACACAGACAAGAGAAAAATCTGCCTTGGGATGATGTGGCCTTGGGTCTGAGCTCATGCACATAAACTTTCCTCCTCCTCCTCTTCCTCCTCTTCCCACAGCCTGTCTCACCACACATGCCTCTAGAGATGCTCAGACGCTCCCTCTGTGATTTTTCTGCAAACCAGGGACTTAGACCATGTGCCTCTGCTGATGAGAAGGGAAGATGAGGATTTCAAGACCTCTCTTTGGTTATAGCTGCTCCCTAGCTGGTGGATCTGCAGCCCAGGGGAGACGCCTACAGCCCTGGGAACTGGGCCCCTCTTTTCCCGGCAGTCTCCAAAGTCCCTCCTCTACCACCCAGGACGTCTGGGAAGGGCTGTTTTCCCAGGCATGGCTTCAGTTCAGACAGCCAAGTGCAGGGCAGATGCACGGTCTTCCGGGCTGGCCAGCTCTCAGGAATGGTTTCAACCACTCGCCAGCCAGGCTGATCACCTTGGTGTGGGGATATTAACCTTCCTACCGTTCTTGTAGCTATTCTGATGAGGACCAGCTCACTTCCATCCTCCAGGCCAAGCCCCAAGCATGCTCAGACCACAGGCAGATGCACAGTTACCAGAAAGGTAGGACATGGTGCTAAGGAGAGTTGCCTTTATGTAGTTACACGAGTGCTACGCTGGTGCAAATCCTGCCCCCTGAGTGGGGTGCATGGCGTGCCTCAGTGTCCAGAGTCATAGATGTAAGCCGAGGGGCAATACCCCGGTCTGATGTGTGTTTGGGACCATATAATAGCTGTAGGTCTGAATGCCTTGCGCAGTGATATCTCCCCCACTGATCCCAGCAGGGCATGTCTTCTCCAAGGGGATGCATGTATGGAGAAAGGTGTCCTCGAGATTTTGCCCCATCTCCATCCTAATCCATCTGCCAACATAAAAGAAAGCGCTGGGCCCCAGCTGGTTGGAGCCCGGAGCGTGCAAGCCCCGCTTCATCCCGGGGCGGCGTGTCTGGGGGTTGCACTGGTAGAGCTGCGGCTGCCTACGGCTCTCCTCTCGGCAGGCCCATCTCCTGTGAAGTGGGAGCAGCCAGGAAGAGCCAGCACTGCACTCTGCCCATTGCGACCCCTCCTTCACGAGGCGTGCGAGCCTGGAAAGACTCCTTGCACATGTCTAACTTACCAGGCTGCAAAAACCAGAGAAACCTCCTGGTCTTTGCTGGCTGCATTCAGGTCTTTTAATGTCATTTAAACATCAATCGTATGTATTGAATGACCTTGGAGATTTCTTCTTCTGCCATCTGCTGGCAGAAATCCTTCACGAGTGCTCAGGGAGATGCTGAAGTCCATATAGGTGTCTGGTTAAAAGTTAAAGCAACTTACAGTAAATTTAACCATTAAGCCATATTTCTTTTGTAAAGCTATTTTATCAAAAGACAATGATCAGAATAGTTACTTTCCCATACCAACCATTTGGCTGTCAGCAAAGCGTCACTCTCAAAATAATCCAGTTGTTTGTTATTTATCATTATTTCACTCAACAACAAGTGTGCTAATTGTTACTCTACCTAATGTTTCTTTACAGTCAGACAAGTAAATACTTAATGGCCTGTAGTCAATGCCATGCAGGCTCAGTCCATCTAGCCCAGTATCCTGTTTGCTGTAGTGGCAAGTAGTAGGTGCCTTAGAGGAAAAAACAGGGTGATCCCTGTCGTACCCTCCCAGGCACAAAGAGTAGGTGATATCCCCAAGTGGCGCCACGGATCTGTCCTCTGTGAATTTGTCTTACCCCGTTGCAAACCCGGTTATACTTCTGAGATCTACAACATCCAGTGGCAATGAGCTTGTCAATCCACATGTCAATTGTGCCTTGGGAAAAGAACCCCTCAAAACACTTCTTTTTATTTGTTTTAAACCTTCTGCCTGATAATTTCATCATGTACCTCCTAGCTCTTGTATGACAGATCCTGGCCAATAGCGGTTCCCTGTTCACTTTTTCAACACCGTTCACGACTTCATAAACCTCTGTTATACTTACCCTTCAGTCATCAAGGTGAAGGGTCCCAGCCTTTTCAGGCTCTCCTTGTATGGGAGTTGTTCCACATCCCTGATCGTCTTTATTGCCCTTCTCTGTTCTTTATTACCTTTTCTAGTTCTAGCGTAACACACTTTCCCATGAAACACCAGCACACTCTCTTATGAAAGGCCCTGGGACGTCCTTATGAGTGAGATCTGAGAGTGGTCTGAGTTCAGAGCTGAGCGCCTACATGGAAAATAGGTATAACACCACCTGTGTGAATGGCAGAGGAGGTTTTAAGATGGTGCATAATGCACTTTGCTTTAATTATCTCTGTCAGCACAGCCCCGTCTGCCACCCTCCTGGGTCAGTAACATCTCACAAGAAAGATTGCCACCTGCTGCTGAATTACGAGCACTGCTTCCTACCACATCCCGAACTTCAGCGTCCCCCATCCAGGCACCGAGCAAGACGGAGGCCTGACTGATGTATGATATCCTGCATTAAAGTGGCATATCTGGAGCTCAAATACAACATATACTATGTATGATCAAACTAAGCTTTTTTAACATCTAGGAAGGTAAATTTTCTTAGGGTTTCCCATTTTTGTACTTAGCAGAAAATACCCGTAACCCCCTTTTGGTGTTTCCGCAGCATCAGCAAGTTTCTGTAGGTTGAAGCCCTGTAAAGGCAGGCAGAATTCATCTTCCAACGCACCAGAGGTCAGAAAGAGCTGTTGGTGGGAAAGCAAGCATTTTCTTGCCAAGTAGCTGGGAGGTAAGCTCCATGCGATGTGCGTGGCTTGCTGTGTAGCTGCACCAGTCAGTGGCAAGACTGCCTCCAAAGTCACTGAGGATGTTTTGTCCAATGTGCACATTAAACGGAGTAAGTGAAACGGGCCTGCTTCTAATATCTCTTGTTGGCACCATCACTCATTTCCAAAGTGAAAGTGAAAGAAGACAAAAGCAAGATGTAGCTGGCAGGTTTTCCAGTTGGCATTAAGGCTCTGCAGAGGGATTTGGTAGACCAGAGGGCTGTTCCCGACTCGACTATAGACCTTCTATACGACCCGGGTCTAGATGCTTGTTTCCGAGTTCCTCAACAGAAAAATAAGGAAGATAATCCTTCATTTATCTGTCGTGGGCACTCGGACACAGATCCTTAGCCAGGGATTGTTTCTTGGTGTGTGTGTGTGTGTGTACATCCCCGGATCCCTTTCGGGGTCTATACTTTC